AGCATATTGTAGGCTGAACCCCCTCTTTTAGAGGATGTCAGAGAGAAGATTGGGGATCCTTCCAGAGTTCAAATGGATCTTGGGTACCCATATTTCCCAAGAATGGCATTGGAAAAGGAGAGGCCCTCATTGCTCTTCACATAGAAGCTTCCAGGAAAATAACTGCCCACAGTGAGTTTTTACTGCAAAAAGCAGGGGCATTTACTGATGCACAGCAAATGAAGGATTATAGAGATGCTGGAAATTGTAGCGTGGACTCCAGGGAATCACTCAGTCTGAGAAACCTCCCTGGGACTCCAGTGGTTTTTCCAAAAAACTTTGAGAAAAACAGTGCCCCCTGCTCTGTTTCACAGAAAGAGTCATCAAAGCTGCCTGTACAAAAAACGACAGTGCAGCAAATGCTGGGGCCTTTTTCTCCTCGCAAGGAAGAGAAACAGGAAGCTCTCAATACAGAGCTTTGTGGGGAAGACATTGAAGGGCTACCTAACCAGTAAATGTTTCTGGAATTCCAGTATTTTTCAGGAAAAATCCTGCAAAGGTAGGTGCCTCCAGCAAGACCTTTCAAGAGCAGATTTCTGTGTAGACAGGAAGGCCTGCAGTAACAGTTTGTTTACAAGGCCCGACACTTGCCTCTGCAATAGGAGGAAGGAAACAAATTGATCAACAACATCAAGGCAACTTCATACAAGAGCAGGGTTTTCTAGAGGAACCCCCAAACATTACCCAGGGACTTTTAACCAAGGGAATGGTGGATACAGGTGGAAGTAAACAGGAACAAAGCATGGAGACAAGGACTGCTTTAAAACAGAAAGAGCTTTCGTTATATTGCAGGCTGAGCTAAAACTCAAGGCAGAGACAGAAGATGTAAAAGATAATTGGGAGAAAGCTGTGCAAGAGGAAACTGATCTTGAGATAGAAATTGGGTGCAAGGAAATGAGGAAGGCATGGACATGCTGAAAAGAGAACTAAAGCTTTTAGAATTGTTAGAAAAGGACTGCTGCTCATACTGATCTTTTCTTGCTGCAACTGCAAAAGGCAACTATTCTCAGACGGTCTTCTGTGACCTAGATAACCTGGCAATGGCCAGACTCTGAACTCATGGGGGTCTGGGTAGCTTGCCCTAGGATCAGGTAAAAGTATGACAAGGCAGGCACTCTTGAGCTATAGCTGATAGGGACCTGCAGAAACTTCAGGCATCTCCACAAACAATAAGCGATGCTACCTGGCTGAAGCTACCTAGCCTCACCACAAACAGATCCCAAAATACAGGCCACTTAGCTTACCTGCAAGCGTCAAAGGGGTAAGCTCGCAGTCTGCTCTTGGAACTATAGGCCCATTACCTAGAAAATATCAGCCACAAATTTTCCTTGATGTCACCCAGAGAGGGGTACCCTGATAGGTGCAGTTAGAATCAATGTTAGAATCAACTGCTAGCCTGGAAATACTCTAACATGTGCAGTTGTTAACCTATAGACTATACAATGGAAAGACCCTGACATGCACATTGAAAATTAATTGTTAACCTGTATACCATCTGGGTGTTGCTTCCCTTTTTCTCTGACAATTGAGAGCCGCCCAGAAAAAGACCTATAAAAGTTTAATGGCTCAATTGCCTTCAGAGGAACAGGGCTCAGGACTCCAGAAAAACATTCCACATTTAAAAGAATACTGCAAACACAGAGAGGACTTAAGAGGTGTGTCAAGCTCCTCTGGAGTAGCAAACATAATTTGCCTAGAAATGAGAAGAAAAATAAAACTGGAATTTCTAAGACCTCAAAAAGAAGGCAGCACTCTCTCCCAGACATTTCTGACTAAAGAATTAGGTGGAAACATTTGGGATAGGTCCCTTCTAAAGCCTAGAAATGAGGATTTTTTTGGATATCAGAACCACCTGGCAGTGGAAACAAGTCCTGTTCTTTTCACTCCCGAATGCACAATTTCTGTTTCTCAAAAATTGGATTCTGAAGTAACGGGTGAAGAGATGATAAAATGAGATGGGTTGTTGAGACCAGAGTTATATTCAGATTTGCTCTCAGGTAATCAAAATTCAGAAGACAGTGATATGGACTATATGATGAAGGGGGCAGCTGGAAAAGGTTCCCCTGGCTCCAGAAGAGGAAATTAATTCTGATTTTTTTTCTAAGCACTTTTAACACAGACTTTTAAAGGGAGGAGGAAAAGTCAGCACACTGTGATTAAGAAGCCTCAGATTCCTTTGGAAAAGGGAGGAACAAATTCCTCTTGAACTCTCCATATGGGTTCAGAGAAGGATGAGGAAGGAGAAACCTTGGCTCAAGAGTTTAGACTATCTGTGCACTCACCCATGAGAAGGAAGACGAGGGAAAACCAGATTCTGAGGGAGTGGGCTGATATGCTGCATATGGACCTGAGTAGGGTCAAAGATATAATTCTGCCTTCTAAGTTAAATTAGATGTGACACGCTCAAGCTCTGGGACTAAGGTCTGCCTAAGCTCACCACCTATAATTTAACTAAGTACAGTCAAGAGAAGATCTGGCATTTCTTGAACAAATGTACAGAACCCCCATCGAAAAAATACTAATGGGACTAAAATGGTTGTCCATGTTGAGAAATCGAGAAAAAGCAAAAGCCTTCACCAGATCTGTCACTCTGAATGCCATCTATAGGATTCTTGTCTCCAAAAAGCCAGCTGCATCCAAAACTTACCCTGAATGACTGGAGGAATCCAAGCTCATTAGAACATTCCAAGAAATACACAGGCCATGGCAAGTAGCCCCAAGAGTGAAAGGGCCACCGATATGACAACAAATAGAAAACTGGAACTAGAACTCCATGCTGCTGGTTGAGATCTTTACCGAGTGGCTGTTGATCATCATCGTCAATTTACAACAACTTGCTAAACTCCTGAAACAGAACCGGGATGCAAGTGATAGAATTCCTCCTGTGCCTGTGAGAATTCAAGAGAAATTGAAATGACTCAGAAATAAAAGGTTTTTAAGATGATCTCCCTGTGTGGAAGAGCTGCTTGACAAGAGAAGACACGTGCCTCTGTCAACCATAGAAGCTGACTTCCAAAGACCGTCTGGCAAAGGCAGTAAGGAGTACCATTCAGGTCCTTTCAGTGACAGCAGCATGGAGAGAGGTGTGAAACGTACAGTCAAAGAAAGACCCAAAGGGCAAGACATGACAGGAGATGCAAACTCCAGGAGAAAGCTGTGGAGTGAGCAATCCCATACTGATGTGGCAATGGGGGTGAAGTATTGGCCAAGCCACTAGCAGGCAAGGTGGTGGAAAAGAATGTGCTAGCTGAGTCTTCTTTTTCAGATTGGCCACCACTCTCTAAAGTGACTCAAAGTAATGAGGAAAGTTCCTGTCAAGAACTGGAGCTCAGTGCAGTCTAAGGAAAAGCAAGCCAGTCAGGTGACCCCAAAGGAGCAGACTGGGCTGGAAAGACAGAACAGGCAAGAAGATGGAAAATGACCAAGACTGATGCAAGACCAAGCCCTCAAATCAGAAGCAGGTTGCACAGGAGAGGGGGAACAGAGAAAGCAAGAGGCCGGCATGGCAAAGCCACATTTTTTGGAAGAGACGTGGATGAAAGAAGGCTCCAAAATGCAGTCGTGAGAGCTGCCACCTTTGTGATTGCTGTTAGGTAGAGAGGGGGAGTGACACACCTGGAGAGGTGAGCAGGAGAGCTGATGGTAGCCCTTAATTTCGAAGAGGAAGAGGAGCAGTATCAGGATGGGGTTTTTTTAATGCATTAGAAGAACATGATCCAAGAAAGCACCATGATGTGCCATTTCGATACTGTGGGCCAGGATCCTAAGAATGAGGGTCACCTCTATCTCATGAGAGTTTTACTTAAGCAGAATCTGCTTCAAGGAGGATTTGACTTTGGCAGAAATGGTATCATCACTGTGATCGAGTTGACTGGGTCCAGAGAGACAGACATCTGCCTAGCCTCTGAAAGGGCGTACAGGAAATTTTAGGGTTTTTGTAGGTGTGCCCAGAAGATCAGACCCACTTTACAGGAATGCTTCGAGGTGATCCCCGTTCCATGGAGGTACAAAAGTGCTGACAGTGGCATTCAGAACCACCATGATACCAGTTCAGGATGTCATCTTTTGGGTGTCTAAGTATGCCAAGGTGCTAATGGGCCCTGACAAGAACGAAGAGGGCTTCCGGAACGGAGAAAACCATTGTGTTGTGTCCTTCAAGGATGCCAGTGCTGACTACAGGAAAGGGAAAATCCCCAAATATTTCTTTCTGGGAATGGAGAGAGGCATCACATGCTACAGCGGTCAACCACAGGCATGCTACCAGTGAGGCTCTTATGAGCATCACAGGAGGTGCACTACCCGTTTCTGGTGTGGGGAGAGGGGTCACCCAACTGTGGCATGTCACAACAGCATCTGCTGCAACTTGTGTGGAGAACAGGGGCACACCTATTTCTGGTGCCCCAAAGCTTTTTATAACAAGATGCCAAATGCTTTGAGCACGTGATGAGGAAAATTGAGATGGGGAAACAAAGGGCTGAAGGTGAGACCTACAAGCAGAGACCTGAGAAAGCAGCAGAGAAAGATGAACAGGAGAGTAGCGAGATGAGAAGAGAAGCATCGATGCCTGGTGATGAGAAACAGGAGGCGTGAAATAACTGAAAATTCTTGGCTGGGTTTGCTGCAACGAACTAAACCGGCCAGACCCCTGGATACTGCCGCCGCCTCCTCCTCCTCCTTCCCGATGAACTCGCCCAGGGAACGCGGCGGGGAGAGAAAGGCGCAAGACGAGTGCGCTGCTGGGCAAAATGCATCCTCTTGACGTCGGAGAGGAGGATTTTTCTGATTTTTCTCATTTTCTGATGCGCCCTCGTAGCACCTTGGAGGTAGAAAGCGTACACCCCCAGCCAAAAACCGCTCCGTGGCGCGCCGCCTCCGCTCTCCCGGGCGCGCAGGCTCCGCCCCCCGCCCGGACCTCCCTCTCTCCGCGCCGCCCCTCGGCGCGCCGGGCTTGACGTCGCGTCACCAGCCTGCGCTGCCCGGCGGCCTCCTCGCCGCCTGATCCTGCGTGCGCGCAGCCCTCAGCGAGGGCGAGGGAGCTTCTGCGGCGCCTGGGCCGCCCCCAACCATGGTGTGGGTCAGCCGGGTCCTCCTCAGGCAGGTTAGTGCCGCTCTTCAGCCGCAACTCCCGCCTCGCCACCTACTTGCTTGGGGTGAAGATAGGTGGGGGCGCCCGCCTGCTGCCCAGTGGTGGGCGATCCCGCTGAATTTGAGCTTTGAGGGAGGAAGCACTTCTCTTTTCCGCATAATGGATAATCAGTACGAAGCAAGGAAGGGCTTCTTCCTCTCCCGCATGAAATTACTGGGTTATCTCGTCTAGACTGAGGCTAATTCTCATTTGTTTCTGTGGGCCTACATAGTGTACCATATACATAGAAACTAGAGTAAAATAACTGAAACAGCAGAATGTAACCTAAAACAGCTAAAAGAACTAGATTATTAATTGCTGAACTTGCCTGAGGAAGGTTTGGACATCAACTAGTGTGAATTCCCTCCACTTGCTCTTACATAGGGGATTGTTTGTTATGTAGCTCTAGAAAGAGCACTAAGGCATGACTCTTGGAAACAACTTCGCAATGAAAACAAAACTAGGTGGTCTTGGCCTGGCTTATGGCAATGTTTCAGCAAAGCAGCGGGGGGGGGGGGGGAGTAGACCTCCAGATGTTTTGGATTTCTGTTCCCAAAAGTCTTTGCCAGCATGGCCAATGGGCAAAAATCCTGAGAGTTGAAGTCCAAACTACCTGGAAATCTATTTTTCGATCACCTACTTGCTTGATGGAATTGCTTCCTTTGAGGAGGCGCTTGTAGTACATAAGCTCTCCCTCAGCAAGTTTGCTCATCCTTCATAATAAGAGATTTGCTGATCTCTGAAATACTAATGTGCATTGTATGTTTTTCAACAGTATGGCAGATTTATGGATGACCTCAGAATCTATGTGAGAGGCGGAAGTGGAGGAATGGGCTTTCCTCGATTAGGTGGGGAAGGAGGAAAGGGCGGAGATGTCTGGTTGGTAGCTCAAGAAAAACTTACTTTGAAGAAAATTAAAGATCGATATCCAAAGAAACGGTTTGTGGCAGGAACAGGATCCAACAGTAGGTGAATATTTGATAATTAATGTAGTCCAACTTTTCATGTACTAGAAAAAATACTGACATGTTTATTCTTCTTGCCCATCAAGTATTGTTGCATTGAAAGGTGCTAAGGGAAAAGACTGTGAAGTAATGGTGCCTACAGGAATATCAGTTGTTAGAGATGATGGAGAAGTGCTTGGTAAGGATTTTTTGTCTCTTCACTTTTATGTTGTTAGAGGGAATCAGAAGTATGGGTGCTGTATCCTTAGATGTAGGTGTGCATGCCATCATGCTAAACTTGTTTTTAATGCTTAGAAACATGAGAAAAGCCATGCTGTATCAGGTCAAGGGTCCATCTAGTCCAGCATTGTGTTTCTGCAGTGACTAATTGCTTAAAGGGCCCTCAGGCAAATATAGTGGAATATAAGGTAAATAAATAAATAATAACTACAATGCAGCCACACGCATCCCACTTGTCTTTTCTTGTAACTGGTGTGCATAGGCACACTGCCTCTTATACAGGGGTGGGAGGGTAACCTGCAGTCACCCTATTTATTTATTTATTTATTTAAAACATTCCTATGCCGCCCCCATTGCAACAAAGCCTCGGGGCGGCTCACAAAAAATACACAAAAACATACATAAACAATAACAATATAACAATTTAAAAAAAAAAACATTAAAAACCCCCCGGTGCATTCTTGGCTAATTTTAAAATCCTAATAAATACAATAATTTAGCAATTAAAATAAGTTTTAAATAAAAAGATCTTAGCCTGGCGCCGAAAAACAAATAATGATGGCGCCAGGCGGACCTCTCTGGGGAACGCATTCCATAGATGGGGCGCCACGACAGAGAAAGCCCTCCTCCGGGTACTCATCCTCCTAATAGTCACAGAGGGTTCCCAGAGAAGGGCATCGGTTGCTGATCTCAAGGGGTGGGAGGGCATATATGGGTGCAAGCGTTCCTTTAGATAGCCAGGTCCCAAGCCGTTTAGGGCTTTATAGGTCCTAACCAACACTTTGAATTGGGCCCGGACTTCAATCGGGAGCCAGTGGAGCTGATGGAGAACTGGGGTTATATGAGAACAATGCCCAGTCCCCGTCAGCAACCTGGCAGCTCTATTCTGCACCAATTGAAGTATCCGGACCATCTTCAAGGGTAGCCCCATGTAGAGCGTGTTACAGAAATCTAATCGGGAAGTTACCAGCGCATGTGTCACTGTTGCCAGGCAGTCGTTCTCCAGGAAGGGGTGCAGCTGATGTATCAGCCGAAGCTGAAGGAAGGCGCTCCTTGCCAGCACCATCACCTGAGCTTCTAGAGACAGCTCAGGGTCGAGGAGCACTCCCAAGCTGCGAACCCTGTCCCTCAGAGGGAGTGCAACCCCATTTAGGACAAGGCCCAAGTCCCCCATCCCAAGGCCCAAGCCACCCACCAACAGGACCTCCGTCTTGTCTGGATTGAGCTGGATCTTGACCAGTAGTCACTGATAGCTTTCTCTTCCATGAATTTGTCTAACCCTCTTTAAAAGGCATCAGAATTGGTGGCTATCACTGCATTTTGTAATAGTGAATTCTACAGTGTTAAAATATACTTTGTGAATCACTCCCTTGGTCAGTCCCAAATCTCCCATCAATCAACTTCACAGCATGACCCCAAGTTCTGTATACTGTGAAGCAGAAGAAAATGTCTTCCTATCTACCTTCTCTATAACATGCTTGATTTTTACCTAGTGCAAGAAATGTCTGTTGTGGGAAACGTCAAGAACACAGAATTTCCTAAATTGCCGCCCCGAGGCCTCGGCAAGGGGCGGCATAGAAATGTTTTAATAAATAAAAAATAAATAATAAATGAACCTCACCCCCCACCAAAAAAATAAAAAAAACCTTGAAGATTTAACTCATAGGTTTATGAGCATCCTATGCAAGGCAGGAGAAACCTTTTTGCTCATCTAGCAGAAACATTTCATAGAAGAAGGAAAGAGACTGGAGAGGCATCAAGAGAGTTCATTTCCTGGCCTCTCCAGTCTCCATCCAACCCACTGAAATGTCTTCTTTTACCCCTATCAAGGTCATGACTCTTTCCTTGTAAAGGTAGCCATTATTTTTACAGTCTTTTGTGGGACGGTGGCAGAGTTGTTATCCCAACTCCAAGGCTGAAGAGCTTCGGTCTCCTAGCTGGAAATAGCCAGTTAGCCTCTCTAAGGGTCAGAGGTTTTCTATATTCATGGATTAAGAAAAGAGACTTTATGTATGTATGTATGTATTGATTTATTTAAACCATTTATATGCCATCCCTTATGCATAGCATATTTGCCTCAATTGATGTGTGTTCATTTGTTTACTGCACTAGTTTACTTGGAAGTAACTTACACTTTGTTCAGTGTGACTTTTTCCCCAAATGAGCATGAGTGAGATTTTAGCCTTAAGGTAAATCATATTTTCATAGTTTATTTTATCACATCAGTTTTTGAATTAAAATGTTGCCATGCATTTTTTTATTTGGTACTATGTTTAGCACCGTGACTGTGTGTTTCTTGCTGTTCGTTGCTACTTTTAAAAAATCATTCAAAACCTGTATGAAATATTTAGTTAGAAGTTAAATGAAAAGACTGTTAATTAAAAGAACCAGTCTATTGAGGATGTTTGCAAAAAGCAATTATTTTTAATTTTTTGTGCAATCTTTATTTTTAGGAGAACTTAACAAAGCAGGAGAGAGATTGCTTGTGGCACGTGGGGGTATTGGTGGATGTCTGGCTACAAATTTCTTGCCCTCCAAAGGTCAAAATCAAATGATTCATCTTGATTTAAAACTTATAGCAGATGTTGGCTTAGTTGGGTAAGTCCTGAAAAATTTATTCTGATATCTCTGCTAATTATATGTACGTATTATTATATTTATTAGACGTATTGTATATGTGTTACATCCATTTTACTTCAGATAGTCTTACGTTTAGGAAATGCTAATTGCATAACCATTTTCACTTGTCTTCCTGTAGCCACAAGGTTTGTTGTAGTTAATACTGAAGTGCTCTCCTCACTTCCTGTTTCCAGTTTAACCTGCAACTTCAACCTTTGTTTAGGTTTTGCAGAAGAGCAGAATATAACTTCCTAGAATTAGAGCAAATTTGGCAGCAAATACCTAGAACTCTGTCCTATATTTAGAAAGATTTTATCCTGCTGCCCCTTGCACCTGCTAATTCTATTTACAGTTCCAGGTTTCCTGTACAATACAGGGCAAAAAATAATTCTAGGGAGTCATGGAAACACATTTATATCATTTAGCTGAATTGTTGAGTCAGTCACTGAAAGCATATGCTTTGATCTCAGTCTGAGTTTGCTTGTACATCTCTGTATGTACATAAGTGCTTCTTCATTAGTGCTCTCAGGCAAAATTGTACTGCCTTTAGAATGGGGGCAGAGGAAGCATTAGCATGAGGTACATTGAAACAACATCCCTCTATGCATTTCAAAGAGATTACATCTAGCTCTGGTATAATAAAATTCTTCCTTCAAAGGTATAGTAACTTTCTGAACCTGCCTTGTGACATTATCTTGACCTCACTAAAGCTCTGAAACTCCAGTTCCACCGCATCAGTCCATAATGAGTTGTGAATCCCTTCTGAGTTTCATACAGTCATCACCCTTTAAAAATTTTTTATAGTTATGTTCAGAAAGAGGCTGATAAAATTGAGCTGTTTTTCCATATATGTATATTTCCAAAATGTGTTTTGTTAATCAAACATGGTCTGAGTCTTCTCGGTGTAGGCCAGGCTTACACCGAGAGCCTGGCCTACAGTGCTAAGAAAGCCTACCATAGGTACACTGCAGTGAATTTCACAGTTTTCACTGAGGTAAACAAAACCAAACTATCCTGGTTTTGGGTTTGGCTTCTTAGGATGCACAAGCTGGTTGAGCTGGCAGGACTGATTAAGCTACAGCTATCTCTTCAGTTCCTTCCCACACCACCTTTAAAAATTGCTTGAACAATTTACAACTTTCTCAGAAGCTGCCTCAAGACTTGTGCCAAGTGATGTGCCTTTCTCCTGAGTTCCTTTTGCAAGAGTTAAGAGACTTGGTGGCTTAGAATTTTTTTCTGAATACCCAAACAAACACATACATGACTCTGTGCATCTCCCCTGCAGTAAGGTAACTTCTTAATATTGTGACTGCACACTAAATTATGCTGTGAGGGACTTTCAGTACCATTGATGAAAGTGTACTTGGCTTCAGTCCAGTTAAGCATTTCAAGGCAGCATTTGTGTTTGGTGCTGTGCTAGTATGCAAGGGATATAATGACTGCACTACAGGGTGGATTTGATTTAAATCACTAGTCAAGAAGACTAGATTTAAATCATGGTTGTCTGCATAATTTGCACACACTCTACCCTTAGGTAGAGGAACTTCATTAAAATATTCCCAAACTGGGTCTTTTACAACCTGCTGCCGTTATATGTTTTCTCCTTGAGGGATAGAATAATAAGATAAACCTCAGGCTATGCACAAAAAGATTCAAAGACTTGTTGATTATTCTGCTCAAAAGGTCTCACTTTCCTTTTTATTGTTGCCCCACACACACACACCTAGCTTCTTGTGCAGATCTACTCCCATCAAGCCTCTTCCATTCATTGAATTTTTTGCAACTTAGCACTTAAGTGGTAAGGGGTTCATTCTGTGTACACAGATTTGCAAAGGAACAATGGGATTAAGGTTTTGTTTTTGTTTTTTGCAACTCTGTATGTTCATGTTATAACATTTTTGCTATGAAAAAGCAGCCTATGATCTCTGCAGACACAAATTCACAATTTTAAGAACTGTAAAAGCAAGCATCTGTGATAATATCTTCTGGATAGAGAAATTGCCCAGTAATATTACAGAAACCTCTGGAAGAGCATGACATTGTGAATGGATTAATAGAATTCATTTGCCAAAAAAATTAAGTATAGCATGAATATACGGCCTTTTGCTACATAATTAACAACTAATTCTTATTTCATGATGAATAACTTTTGGACTATTATGTACCATAAATAAAAAATAATCTTTAGATAGATTTTCTCCTCAAAAATTATTTTTTTAAATATCCAAGGTTTTTTTCATCATTGATTATTATCCATCTGGTACAAAAGCTTCCTTAAGTGCTGCTTTCTTGATAGGAAGCTGGGGTACAAACCAAACAGATAAATATCTGTTTCTTTTGAGAGACAAAACTATTCACTTGAGTAAAATATTTATAATGACAAATTATTTTGGTCTGTCATATGTAAATGCTAGTGTAGCACTAATTCAGGGTGGGCAACTTTAGGAGTTAGTTTTCAACCCTCCCCCCTCGAATCTACTAGGAACCACACATACAGAGCAGCTGCCAAATTTATACAGCAAAAGATGGGAAAAAGCATATTTTAACTTGGAAACAGGGAATGTGGGGAGCATACATCTTGCTTTAATGCAAAATCATTCTCCCAAATCCCAAGGGAGTGCAATTTGGCAGTAGGAGAAGGCATATGTTCCCTATGCACCTTGATTGAAAACAAAAGTGCAGTTTTTTCCTGGTGGTACAGTTCCAATTTGTCAGCATTTTGTCAGTGTAGCAGTGTAAACTACAGAAAAGGACAGGGGTCGGTGTGGTCCACAGGCCCCCTCCCTTGCATTAACTAGTGATTCTGTAACTTCTGCATCTTCCAGGTTTCCAAATGCAGGAAAATCCTCTTTGCTAACCAAGATTTCACATGCCACACCGCAGATTGCAGACTATGCATGTAAGTAAGAACTGGCCCTTTAAGAACATTGCCCCCCTCCCCTCCATCATAAATACCTCTGGATCAATGCTTGCACTGATCATGCACCTTGAATGGGTGGGATATTTCTTGCTCCATTTCTTACAGTAGCACTTGCAATTGAAGCTGGCTGTGGGGAGACATGGGAATGCATTTGGGGACAGATTGTGTGTGTGTGTGTTGTGTGCCTGCATGCAACCATGAGTATAGTTTGAGTTGGTGGGGGCATTGACTTCCACACATGAACAACATTACTGGATCAGGGCTCATGTTTGCCCTTTGCAAAGGTGTTCAGAGTACAATTGCAGAAAAGTATCTTGCTATCTCCTCACCTAGATACTTTCAGAATGCATTTTGCACGCCAAAAAAATCAATGTATAACTAGATTATATGGTCCCACTATAATGTTAGCTAAAACATCAACCTAGTATTGTCACAGTCCTTTGCCTTTGTACCAGCAAAATAGAAAACAAAGCAATATTTGTAAGAACAACAGATAACCTAGGAACATGGGCTGTCACTCCCATGGTGTCCTGGACAGCCCATCTGCAATACACCAGTCATGATTCTGCTTGCTGACAATGCATCCTCATTGGGCATGCAGGAATCAATGCATGTTATCTCATACTACACCCTTCATGCTTATAGAGAGCACAACCAAGTGAAGAGCTGACAGGGCCTTTCCTAATACGGACCTCACTAGTACTGTTGGTAGGAGGGCAGCCACTGGTACCTTTTAGTTATAATTTCTAGAGGTCCCTTCAGACATGAGTTTGAATCCTGTGGGAATCCAAACAAGGACACCAGCAGCCTGTACATCACAACCCCTTCAGAAGGAAGCAGACCTTGTATTGGGTGATGGTTTGTTTGTTTGCTTCTATACCACCCCATCTGAATCTCTCTGGACAGTTTGCAATAAAGTATAAGAACAATAAAATACAATAGAGAAAATGTTTACAAGAATTAATGATATCTGATGCTATTTTAAATTAATTTTAAGACAATAAAAATACCCAGCCAAGAATAAAAGAAAGGCACCTAATAATAACCTGATTAGCCATATGGATCCATGTGTGGGTATGTACTGCTCAAGCAATCCCTCCGGTGCTTAGACAATAAACAGAGAAAGACCTGTTTGTCCTGATATCAAATGTTTTCTAGTATTAAACAATAATAATACTTTCAACTGGTTCTCTCTGTATTCCCCAGTGCAGGCAGGGGTATCCCTGTATTGCCAGTTTTGGGCCCCTTGAAGAGCAAACAAGGCTGCTAAGCAGGTGCATAAAAGCTAGCAGTAAGAGAGCTGGTGCAGTGCAGTGTTAAGAGCTTGGGACTGAGGCTATCTGGGTTCTAGTCCTCACTCAGCCATGGAGCCAACTGGCTGACTTGGGCCCGTCACAGACTTCAACCCTACTTCACAGGGTTGTTGTGGGGATAAAGTTGGGAGCAGGAGGAAGAGAATGAGGTGCGCCACTTTGAGCTCTCAAAGAAGAAAAAAGTCAGGATATAAATCTAATAAATAAAGTTCTAAAGTACTTTATAAAACAATGTTACCTTTTCCTTCTTTCCACAGTCACAACAATAAAACCTGAACTTGGTACCATTAAGTATGCTGATTTCAAGCAGGTTAGTAAGGTTGTATCAAAGATATTGTCACGGAGAAATCCCTTTTCAGTTCCAGTCACTTATAATTTAAAATAGGATCCAACTTTTCTGTGGGAGCAGACTGATGATCCATTTCCAGGAAACAGCAGTCGCTTACGAATGATCTTACACCTGTTGATTCTTCCCTTGCAAAACATATTCCTCTCTAAAAGTGAGCCTTAACCTAAGAAGAGCCATCTGGGGCTTTGATGGAATTGAATGTGGTCAATTCCAAAGCATTTGTTTGTTTTAAAGAAGCTAGAAAAGCTTAAATAGAAAGCAGTGGGAACAGACTCCCTAGGTTGTACAGGTGCAGTGCAGTTGTACATGGGTTTTACTCTTGTTCTTTTTACCCAAAGTAATCACTTTCTATATACTTGCTTAAAATGGTTCTACCAGGTTAATTTAGGTAGTGTATCATGTTGCAGCATAGTTAAGCTGATAGTGGCCTAATGGATCCCATTCCTCTTTATCTTTCCATCTGTAAAGAGAGGCCTTGTTTTGAAACTGTTGCACAATTTTTAAATTGCCTATATTCAGGAAAACTTCATTCACAAATATGATTTCCATGCAATTAGGTTTTGATGAAGATTTGAGGACTGCATTTATTTATAAAGCTTTCAAACATTCAATTCTACACAATCTAATTTTACTTTTATGTGCCAAGGTCTATAGCTAGCACATGAGAGTAATCTTGCAAATAACAGTCTGGGATGAAAGACTTGTATCAAGCGTAAGTGCTGGTCAACAACAAAGTTCACAAATCTAAAATGAGTAAAACTGTTTTTCCTTCTTCCTGCAGCCAGGAACTAGAGGGCTTGACAGATTTTGCTTTAATCTTTATCCAAACAGACTGTTTGAAATGAATAAAAATCGTGATGTTGCACTCCATGAACAACCTGCCCTTGTAGTTCTTCTTTACAAAATCCCCCGTGTACACCAAAGTGCACCATTGTCAGTGACTCTTTATATGTCATGTTTGAGGCTTGTAAATTAGGTGATAATTGCTGTTTTTCAGACTACTGAAAACTCTTGCCACCAGTAAACAGCATTCAGCATGACTACCTCAGATAGCCTTTAAACATAGCCTCATAGCCTATCTTTAATGAGCACCAAAACAGGCATGCTGTGATGCAGCAGTAATGGTTTGATTTAAATAAGCATCAAATGCATATGCGGAAGGCTCATGAATGAACTGTATGCACCTTCCTCGCCTCTCTATCTTCTCTCTGGGCAGGCTCACACTTAATGCCAAGAGACGCCTCTAGATAAACTATGAAGTGTGGGTTGTTCACTGAACAACTAATGGCTAACTCACTATATGCCCAACAAATATCATAGGCTGTTCTCCCCTCCTTCCCACTCAGTCCTCCAGCAGGCTTCAGTTTGTATTCCAGGAGACTTTGCAGCAAAATTCATCTTGTCTCCTCATTCTAGCCCCTTCCCCATTCATTTGTGATTTCCTCCAATATTTTTCTTCTGGAAGCTTAAAAGTGTAGAATTGGGACTGTAATTTTTAGAATAATTTTTGTTGGTGGTGGTCTTCAGAAGTGGGTGCTTTTGAATGGAGAACCATGTTGGTAGTGGAGACAGATGCTGCAGCTGCACACACTGAATGGAAGGGTGATGTACGCAAATTTAATGTCTGGGAAGTAAATTGGGGGATAGTTGTGCACATGTAGTAGTTAATGCAGATGTGCAACTTTCCACTCCATTTACCTTCAAGCTATAGGTTTGTATATATTTTCCAATATTCCTAACAGGCTTTTAAAAAAGACCTTCACAGTGGTAGAATGGAACTGAGCAATTGGAGCACCAGCACCTGCAGTGCTTGCACCTGCTCCTGCTGTGGGACACCTTTCACTCATTCCTGTTCACCTCCTCTTCCACTTGTTAGAACTGGCAGGGAACAACAGTAACTGCAGCACAAAGAAGCTGTGACAGTGAAGTGAGGTTTACTATCTCTACTTTTTTTACTAATTCCAGATTCAGAGAAGAGTTGAAAAGGTGGAGGACACTGAAAACTGTCAATTTAACCCTTAAGATAGAATTACATTGTTATATCGGAGGTACCCCCCTCCTGCTGCCCCTACCTTTGGAGCACATATTTTTTTCCATTATTTTCACACTGTGGGGGCTTTTCCATTGTGGCAATAGGTTTCTCCTCTCATTGTTATTTTTCCCCAAGCCCTTCTCATCTGTACATAAATTAGCCTGTATGCAGTCTCTCCTTGTCAGTTTCCTTGCAGTCACCTAATCTACTTCAGTGCTCCCTTTGCTGAAATTTACAAGGAAATTGGCCAAGTTGGGCCACATTAATTGGACAGCTGCAACTGTGCTCCTGCAGCTTGAGAAATACCAATAAAGTACTAATAATACAAAAAGATTGCAATACATTTGTAAAGTTTTCAGGAAACAAAAAGGAGAAGGGCAATGCACAAGAGTTGCTTGCTCCAAAGTGCTGTTTGGGCATTGTGGAGGGGCAGTCACTGGTGGTGGAGTGGATGAGATCACAAAGACGGGATTTCTCACCGCTGTGGCCAAGCAGCTGTGTGGCCAGTCTTGGCACCCCACAATGAACTTGCTGTCCCAGGTTCAGCAGACACAACACCTCATCAGAGTACAGACAACCCTAGAATTAATTGTGAGTTGTTGGCAAAAAATAAATAAGCCACCCTGCAGAAATCGGTCCAAATCCACACAGCACAGCCCATTATAGGTAGCAGTGCCCCATGGTTTGTGGTGTTGCTGTTCCCTGTTTAGCTCTAATTTTCTGTTTCAGCTGAATTTGCAAATTCTACTTAGAATTTAAAACAGTTACCTCTGAAACAGAAGCCATGCTTTGAAGTACTTGCCACTGTTTGGCAAATCAGGCATCATGGTGTTAACCAGGAAAGAGAGAGAAGCAGACACACTTGAGCCACACCTTCTTTATGAATCCCACAAACCACGTTAGGTTTCTCCATATTAGGGGAGAGGCTTATTATTAAGTCTCATCATTCTAATGGAAGCTCAAAAGCAGTATTGTTTGAGAAAAGCTTAACACAAATCTTGTTTGTGCTTGTTTCATGCTGCCTGTTAAAACATGGAAAATGTTTAATCCAACTCAGGCATACATATTATTTTGATTTGTAGTGCATCCAGTTAAAGTAATTGTACTTGCTTGTGTACAGTATTCATTCTTGCAAAACTGGTGGCCATTCTCAAGTATAGGCTTTATAATTATATAACTTATTACAACTTAGATTCCAGATGTTCCAGCAGTACTCTAACCTGCACCCTGTTCTAAGTGAAGCTAATTTAAACTTATGAAGGAAAACATATGAACCTTGCAGCATGGTGTGTCTTAGAATGCTGCTTGTATGTGTTTGTATGTGTTTGTTTAGCCATACAAATCTCCTGATTTAACCTCTTTTAGTAATTAAGATGTCTTAGACTAGGAATAGAAGCCATTGGTCTGTAGTGGAAGTACAATATTGGTATCACCCTGAGTAAATTAATGAGACCCAAACTTTGTATTCTTTTAAAGGTGATTTGTGGTTTTTCCCCTCCTAGATAACAGTTGCTGATCTTCCAGGATTGATTGAAGGAGCACATGCTAATAAAGGAAGAGGCCACAGCTTCTTGAAGCATGTGGAAAGAACAAATCAGCTTCTATTTGTTGTAAGAACCCAATAGCTGCATTCACATATCATACCACCCAGCCCTGGCTATAAGCTGTAAGCCAGGGTGGGCTGGCTGTTCTGTAAACAGCCCACTGTGCACCTGACACATGCTCAAGTTCACCATGTGTTGCTCCCTCACCCCCTCCTTCCTCCTGACTCTTCTGCAGATATTACAAGACATACTCCTACAGGACCTAATGTATTTGCCCAGCCTGCCGTGATTGCAGCACTTTTCCAGCTTGGCACAACTTTTTTGCAGTTTTTCTTCATTAAAAAAAACCAGCCAGCCAACCACTGATAGCTGCTTCCGAGTGCCCAAGGGGCAGTTGGAGTGGTTGTCAGTGACTGTCAGACCACTTAAAAAAGCCCAAATTGTAAGCATGGTGCAATTTTTAAAAAGTTATCTTCACTTGCAACTCAGTTCACAATCACAACAGGGAGGGCAGCAAGCCATTCCAGCTGTCCCCCAGTGCCACTTGGGCACTTGTGAGGCAGATGCTCCTGCTGAATGCCTGTGCAAGCTTGGCAAGAGCAATGGGCGCATTTTGCCACTCTTGGTAAATGAGTTGCTAGAGAATCCCCAGGACCCAAGATGGAGTTAGTCACCTCGATTCTGACAATGTAACAGCCCATCATGGTACAGCGATCCCAACGGCAACCCATGTGTTTCCAGGGCAACTTGTTCCCCTCCAGCATTCTGCCCTGTAAGAATCAGTTAAGGTCCGCGCAACTCAGCTGTGTGAACCCCATCAGTGTTGCTTGGTTTCTTTGTCAAGTGTTTCATTTAGGTGCACCTTTTAATTTTTGCTCTCTGTGTTTAATGTAGTAACCTGGGATACTGACAATCATTACAGCATGCCCTGGGATTACAGACACTATACATGTGCTTCTAACACAGAGATCAAAGACAGCCAGATCCATTGCAGGGGTGTTCAGCCTGCATGCCAGATCTGGCCAGCTTGAATCCTGGCCCATTTTTCCAGTTACCCAAAATGCTGTAGCCCATTCCCCTAGTCCCACCCCTTTTGCTTAACTGCCTATTTTTTGACAGGTTTCTGGCTTTTCAGTAGTTCCCCACCCACCACCACCACCATTCTAAAAGATTGAAATGCGTTTCCTAGGATTTAGCTACCGGCAGTAAGAGCTTTCAGATAAAATACGCTACAATTTGGCCTTTGACCCTCCTTTTTTGCTTTCAGCCCCACCCATCACTGGATCTGGGTTTCCAAGAGCATCTTCAAAACTGAATTCAACCCTTGGGCTGAGAGGTTCAGTATCCCTGTCCTGCAGCGCTTAATACCTGTTCGGGTGTCAAGCATAAATGTATCCATTAACTCACATATTGACCATTGTTTACCAGTGTGCATTCTGCAAGATCAGTTCACTTTTCAGATGAAGTAGTCTGTAGCTTGGTTCCACTAATGGAACTTCCAGTATTATTGCTTCCATTATATAAGTTGCTGAACTACTTGTATGAATAAGAATGTCTGACGACTAGAAAAGGAAAGAATAATTTGTAGTTAATTGTGCAGCAACTACAGGGAAGGGAACTACTTGTGAGGTGGTTCTATTAAGACCTGGAGTAAGGCCAAAACAAAGTGTGTGAAGGGCTTGCCATAGAATGGATGACCACTAGGAGTGAGGAGCCTTTTTTAGCCCAAGTCTGAAATCAGTTTTGGAGAAGCTCTTGGGGGCCACATTGCACTGCTGGATGACACCTAAGGCAAAGTGGTGGGGCCCAGAATGCAAAATATACTGACATATTAAGTTCTTCCTGCCAATACGTTTGCTGTAGCAGAAGCATTTCAGCTGGAGAGGGAAAACTGCACAAAAAACTCACAACTACCAAAATATCAGTGCTTGGAGGAGATGGGGTGGGGCAAGGGGGAAGTGGCATGGCTATTTGGGGAAATCCAGAGGATCAGAGTGTGGCCCAGAAGGAATCAGAGAGTTTGCTCCCTGGGCCAGCAAGTTTCCCAACCTTGATGTTCACACATAACAATAGAATGCAGAAGTTTATGGATATGAATTAATGGTTTCTTTGACTAGGGAAAGAAATATTATAATGGGTGGCATGTTGCTGAAAATAATGTTTTATTTATGAATGTATAATACCTACCTCACCAGCTTCCCTTCACTCTTGCCCTTTAGCTTGATGGTGTTTTGACTTGTAAAGAATAAGATTTAATAGTGTGTTATTTTTTCAAAGGTTGATGTATCTGGGTTTCAGCTTGCTTCTACAATGCCATTCAGAACAGCCTTTGAAACTGTAATCCTACTAGCAAAGGTAGTATTTATGGATGTGCTTTTTACACAGTATAACATGTATATGTCTCATCATGAAAGATACCATAAAGCTTGAATTTGAAATATTTATCTGAATGGCAAACATTAATTGTCAGCAGAGGCTCTGTTGTGTCAGATTTTTAAGACCAGATGTTACAAGGGAGTGCTGGTAATATATTGCAGGAATGGCCAAACCAGGGCTTGCAAGCTGCATGCATCATTTTGTAGCTGTGCCTAGAACAGCTTCTCAAATTGCCAAAGGTGCTGAAGGCCCCAAAAGGTTGACTTTCCCACTGCATGCACATAGTGGAGCCTTGTGATCTGTTGCATGTGAAGCAGTCCTAAGGTAGGCAACCCAGCTGGCCAGCTACTCGTCCTTTCAGCAGACCTACCAAAGCATCCTGAGGATCCATGTAGCAAATGCTAGAAATTTACTAGCCACATTTTGATCCCTGATCCACTAAGGCAAATTATGCTTTGGTGCATTGCTATGTGGCTAGGCCTGTGATCTGGCATACAGCTGCTAACTTTGTTAATAAATGTTTTTGGTTCTTTTTTCTAAGAGTAGAATATTGTCTAACACTTCCACAGTGGTTTTGTCCAAGATTGTACATGCAGTATAATTCTAAGCTACAAAGTAACAAAGGCTGTCATTCACAGAAATATTAGATGATTAAGAAGCCAGTTTTCAGTTAATCAACTATATTTGCAATATGCATAAAATATGTTTCTTATTCAAAAGGAACACATTATCTTTACTTTTAGAAATAATCTCAACTTGCAGCACTAAACAGATAAATTGGTTCAGAGCATCAATCTGCCTGTGTATATAGAGATTTTATTCTGAACTAGCATAGCTAAGAATTACCTTGCTGGAACATACCCAGGGTTCATACAGTATAGCATCTTATTCCAAATTATGGCTTGAAAGTCAGGTATAAGAACTGTGCCTCACCCCAGCAGTTGGTATTAACATATAACTACTTGGCACATGTCATGCAGCTAAGATAGAATTTTCATCCATAAAGAAGAGTGGGGACAGAGTATGATATGAAAAGGTGGAAAGGTTGGCAAGGAAGGATTTAATAGCACTATGTCGAACGTTTTAAACTTATTTCTGTCTTTGGCAATGCACTTAGGGTGATAAAAAAATAGATAACAGCTTTCCTTTTGCTGGATCTTTCTGGATCCCTTCTCCTTAGGTAAAGGGCCCACTCTTAGGACAAAGTTACAAGTAAGTAAAGGACTCTGGAAGTCATACAGAAACAAAGCCAGTTCAGAAGAAAGATGGGAGAGTGAAGGAGCTCAGAGAGAGCATCTTCTTATCTTAAAGTGACTCTCCTCTACAGGCACTCTTTTTAAAATGTTCACTTTGGCATATTTGGCAGTGGCAGATCAGAGATGGGAGTTCAGCAGCAAGCGAAAACGCACTTGTATGCCCCGCAATTGATTATCTCTTTTTGACAGGTGGGTAGCTCACCCTTTGTTGTATCTGGCCAGCTGGGCAGCAAGGAAGAAGACTGCAATGACATAAACAGTTGGCTTGGTGGATAATATTGGGGGCAAGTGCCTGATTCATCAAGCAGATGCATAGAGAACAGAACTAAACCCGTACTTGTTGAATTCAGTGGGCTTCATTTAGATGAGATAGGAATGTCATACCCTAAAAACCGCTTGTCTCGGACTTGCACTGTGTGTATTTATGGCCTTGAGACCTGCGTTAATTGGGGATCAGTAGGTGTACACCTATCTTTACGTATCCTTTACTGCATGTATGCATGCATGCTATGTAGTGCATGTATATGTTGTGTAGTAATTACTGAGTTAAACAAAAGGGCTCATTTAAAGCCAAATGTTTTCAAGGTCAATATTTTACAACTGGTTTATGTTTCAAGGAACTGGAACTATATAAAGAAGAACTTCGAACGAAACCTGCAATTCTTGCTGTTAATAAAATGGATTTGCCCAATGCACAAGAAAAACTGGATGAGTTTATGGAACAATTACAGAATCCTTGCGGTGAGATAATTCTGTATACCTTCTTTTAAAACAAGATACTTGCATATATTTGGCATGAAATAACTTGATCTATATTCATGGAAAGTTCCATTCTCTGGTGGAGTTCTTAAAAAGATCAAACAGTGGTCTTTAATTCATAAAACGTGGCTTGACTAATGTCATGTGATGCTTGAACTAGTAACTAGTAATTGAAGAGGTCTTATATAGCTGATTATATATTTATATCTGCACTGTTCTGTGTTATGCTGATTGGGTAATCTATGAGTGATACACATAATCATCTAATCTCTACCAACCATATGCTGGATGCTTTTTGTTCAGTTCTGACATGCATAATTGAGTATAGTTCCCATTGATGTGTATGCCCTGTTGTTCATATCAATCCTAATCCAGTAAGAAGATTTGAATCTTTGACTCATCAAGGGATTAGGATTATTCAGTATAATCAATATTTAATGCAACTCCTCAAAGATCCATTTCCTCTATTGTAGCATTCTTGTGGGTTTCTAAGTAATCACTGTGCATTCTGTATAAGTTGGGCCCATAACTCCTATGGGTCATTCCCAAAGGTCTGCATTATCTTTTTCTTTGTCAATTCTCTTTGTTGCTAATCTACTTGGAAGATGTATAACTGTTTAACCAATAAATAAGGCAGCAACAAAGGCTAGGTAATTGGGTAATAATTGTACAAAATCATGACTTTCCCTTCCAAAGGGCCAGAGCCACTAACAGGGCATTAAGGAAACCTTTTCAGTTATTGCAACAGAGGAAGCATCTTTTCGTCTATCTGTCGCATTTTAAAATAAAATAGAACCAAACTATTCTCTTTGGGGAGTTTATTTTAATAAATAGAAATAAACATTATAGTTTTTGAGTATTGCAGTTGCTTCAGGAATCAGTTATTTTTTTATTCACAGTATCAATAATATGAAACAGCAGAGGACAATGTTTAATTATCCTAATGTCCAAAAAACAACCAAAAAATCTGAGGGAAAATAAAGTTAAGAGCACTGGGATCTTGTTTTGCTGTATTCAGTAAATGGTTAGTTCCTTATCTAACATAAATAAAATGTTAATTCATGAAGAATTCATTCAAAGGATAGGTTAGAGTCTTTGATATGGATGTTTACTGAGCTGCCAACCTCACTCTGTTGGTAGGGTTTGCTCCCTGGTGATATGAACAGAATTGCAGTCTCTGCTTCAGATTCCTTCCTTAGGTATTACTTTCCTTTACCCCAGAGAGAGCTCTCTGGGCAGTTTACAATAAAATACAGTAAGATCAACAGTACATTAATAAAACAATGTTTCTATAATGATTGTCCTCTCCCCCACCAAAGGACCTGGCGCCCAAACCCTCACTGAACCAGCACCAAACAGGTACCAAATGGGCAGTGCCCTTTGGCATCACCCAAGGGTGCTGCCCTGTGCACCACCCACTGCAGAATGGCCATTGGGAAAGCCCCGCCCCCAACTGACTGGTGGGCTCAGCTGGGCTCTCACTTTTTCCTGCTCTTTCTCCCTCTCACTCACCATGGCGAGACCGCACTGCAAGGCGGTAGAGGAGGAGAGTGACAGTGACGAGAAATGTGCGGAGAGTGGGGGAAGGCAGCAGTGTCGGGCAGGCAGATGGTAGCCTCCCCGCACACTGCCCGATGAAGAAGAAGAATCTAGTCTGAAGCACAAGCTACTGACTTTCATCGTAGTTAACCTCATAGAGTTCTAAGAACTACTGAATGCTAGGAAAAGTTTTGGGAGACTCTTAGAAAAAGGATGGGATAGAAATCAGTTGGCTCTTCTGTTAGTAAATGGCATCAGGAAGTATTTTGGGCCAGCAAAAGTTAGCTTACTTAACATTCTTGCAGTTCAAACCTAGTTACCTTCATCTCCTTGGGCTGGCATACATTCAGAAAACCATGCTACTAGGCTCAGATTTCTCCTGATTACCTTAAATATGGAACATAGATAAACTATGGAAAAGTTGGAATATATATTTTTATTTATTTATTCAGTTTCTATAGCACCCAATTGCTGAAGCTCTCTTGGAAATTCACAAGCTCTATTATAAAAGAGTTACAATAAAGCACTGTATACAATTCCAGTATACAAATTTAAAACAGTCTAAAATTTCAATATACAGAATTTTAAATAGTTTAAACACCTAAATCAATATCATAGACATAATTAATATATATCAGTATAAATTAGCTTTACAAATAGCTGAGGAAAGAAGGGAAGTGAAAGGTAAGGGAGAAAGAAAAAGATACAAACAATTGAATGCAGAATTCCAGAGAACAGCTAGAAGAGATAAGAATGCCTTCTTAAATGAACAGTGCAAAGAAATAGAAGAAAACAATAGAATAGGGAGGACCAGAGATCTCTTCAAGAAAATTGGAGATATGAAGGGAACATTTCATGCAAAGATGGTCATGATAAAGGACCAAAATGGCAGGGACCTAACAGAGGCAGAAGCGATTAAGAAGAGGTGGCAAGATTACACAGAAGAACTATGCAAGAAAGAGCTTAACGTCCCTGACAACCACGGTGGGGTGGTCATTGACCTCGAGCCAGGCATCCTGGAATGTGAAGTCAAATGGGCCTTAGGAAGTCTGAGCAACAACAAAGCTAGTGGAGGTGACAGTATTGCAGTTGAGCTATTCAAAATCCTAAAAGACGATGCAGTAAAAGTGCTACACCCAATATGCCAGCAGATTTGGAAAACTCAACAGTGGCCACAGGATTGGAAAAGGTCAGTTTACATTCCAATCCCAAAGAAGGGCAATGCCAAAGAATGTTCAAACTACCACACCATTGCGCTCATTTCACATGCTAGCAAAGTTATGCTCAAAATCCTACAAGCTAGGCTCCAGCAGTATGTGGCCCGAGAACTACCAGAAGTACAGGCAGGATATTGAAGAGGGAGAGGAACTAGAGATCAAATTGCCAACGTATGCTGGATCATGGAGAAAGCTAGGGAGTTCCAGAAAAACATGTACTTCTGCTTCATTGACTATGCTAAAGCCTTTGATTGTGTGGATCACAACAAATTGTGTCAAGTTCTTAAAGAGATGGGAGTACCAGACCATCTTATTTGTCTCTTGAGAGACCTATATGCAGGTCAAGAAGCAACAGTGTGAACTGGACACGGAACCAATGATTGGTTCAAAATTGAGAAAGGAGTTCAGCAAGGCTGTATACTGTCGCCCTGCCTATTTAACTTATATGCAGAGCACACCATGAGAAAGGTGGGGCTAGATGAATCACCAGTTGGAATTAAGATTGCTGGGAGAAATATCAACAACCTCAGATATGCAGATGATACCACTCTCATGGCAGATAGTGAAGAGGAACTAAAGAGCCTCTTGATGTGGGTGAAGGAGGAGAGCGCAAAAGTTGGCTTGAAACTCAACATTAAGAAAACTAAGATCATGGCATCTGGTCCTCTCACTTCCTGGCAAATAGATGGGGAAGAAATGGAGGTAGTGACAGATTTTATTTTCCTGGGCTCCAAGATCACTGCAGACAGGGACTGCAGCCAAGAAATTAAAAGATGCTTGCTCCTGGGGAGGAAAGCTATGGCAAATCTAGACAGCATACTAAAAAGCAGAGACATCACCCTGCCAACAAAAGTGCATATATGGTTTTCCCAGTTGCAATATATGGCTGTGAAAGCTGGACCATAAGGAAGGCTGAGCGCAAAAGGATTGAGGCCTTTGAATTGTGGTGCTGGAGGAGACTCCTGCGAGTCCCTTGGACCGCAAGGCAATCAAACCAGTCAGTCCTAGAGGAGATCAACCCTGACCGCTCTTTAGAAGGCCAGATAGTGAAGATGAAACTCAAATACTTACTTTGGCCACCTAATAAGAAGGAAGGACTCCCTGGAGAAGAGTCTAATGCTGGGAACAATAGATGGCAAAAGAAGAAGGGGATGACAGAGGATAAGGTGGCTAGATGGAGTCACTGAAGCAGTTGGTGTGAGTTTAAGTGGACTGCGGGAGATGGTGGAGGACAGGAAGGCCTGGAGGAATGTTGTCCATGGGGTCGCGATGGGTCGGACATGACTTCGCGACTAACTACAACAATCAGTATAAATTAATATATAAATTTGTATAAATATAATTAATAATATGATAATTATATCTTATAATGATTATATTAAGATAGCATAACATAATAAATAAAGCAGATGACATAACCCATCATATATCATTAGATACCTGGGAACAGAGGACAGTTTTAACCTGACACTGAAAAATGACAATGTTGTCAGTAGGGATATCATGGCATAATGGGGGGGGGGGGGCAATGCTTAGAAGGACCTCCTCCTTGTTTCTTTCTGGGCCTCCCTTGCAGCTGGCAGTCAGATGAAGGCTCCAGATGCAGATCATAGTATCCAGTTATATGTGAGTCCAAAAGAGCTGTTCCATCATATATTGTATATTGAGAGGCAGTGGTTAAAGAACAGTATGGAGATCATGTAATTCCATGTAAAGTTACATTTATATTTTATGTTTCTATTTGTTAGTTGGTTTCTAGTGAGTTTCTGTTCATAGGAATTTTATAGTGGCATTATACTATTTATTAATTCTGGATTATTTAATTTCAGATTATATGCAGTCACTTCCAACAGGTATGATTCCAGAAAACCCTGTCAAGTTCAAAGAGATTGTCCCCATATCAACATATAGTGGTGAAGGAATTGAAAAAATAATTATGTGTATAAGAAAAGTGCTAGATGAAGAAGCTGAGAAGAAGATTGAAGATTATCAGAGGAAACAAATTCATTCATTGCATTTGTCAGAAAGCTCTTAATTCCTTACACTTGAAAGCTGTTGCCTGATGATTAAGAGATCTTTGCAGGCCTCTAAATGCAACTGAATTTGTGACTTACTCTCTTTCTTGCCAACCTTTTTAAAAGCAAAAAAGCATGTTGTTCTCTAGTTTCTGTAAAATAAAATTATATTATGATTTTTATTAAATCAGTTTCTTATCAGGTTTGTGCAAGTTTTCAAGTTACATATTACTCTTAGGGCAGACTACTTTGCTTGTTTAGACAGGGGAAAAAACATACCCCAGCCAACTCGGTGCAATCAGAAAAGCATTTTTAAAGAGAAAAAAGTCCTATAACTTCCAGGATGTTCCAGCCAATTATGCTTTAGGGATACTCTCTGAAGCAAGCGGAGTAATATATTTTAAAAGATAAAAAAATAGTATTTATAAATACACAAAGACACCATTCTGTTTACCAAGTATTTCAAGAGTGGCATTCTTACTAGGAATAAATACATAGGTGTGGGAAAAGAATGTATAAAGCCACATCCCATGTCCCTAAAATATTTTGGCAGAAATATTTAAAATAGTTAATGAATCTATTAAGCAGCAACATTGCTAACTATGACATTGGGGTATCTGTTGCAAGTGGGAGGGTGAGGACAGAGTACAAGGTTGCGACTCTTCTTTTAATGTATGATCCTTTGCTTCTGGGCAAAGAAGTGGCCTTTTCCTTCCAGAGCATTGCAGCTGCTGATCAGTTATTCACTACTTCTAGAGTCATGAATGGTTAAAAAAAAAAGCCAAACTAATCAATATTCTCTCAATTTTACTAAAGGAGATGCAACCTATAAACAAACATTGCGCAGCAGACAGAGGCTAAGAATTTCCATGACTTTAACAGCCTTAAGGAAAACTGTATCATAATACTTTTATTGTGGATGAGGGCTATTTTCTTGAGTGAATTATTATTATCAATTCTGTTACGACTACTTTGATTTCTATATTGCCCAGCAGCTAAAGCTCTCTGGGTAGTTCACAACAGTTCATAAACACAGGTATAGACTTAGATTGGAACAGATTTCCATCAGACAAGAAGCTTGTCCATGCCAGCCAGATGAATCCTTCCACATTTTTACAATTCCAAATTGTCTTATGTTTGCTACAGTTATCCCCTTACAATATCTATGACAGCCAAGTGAATAAGCCTTCTAAAGCTACAATGATCTATCTTGTGTTGTAGTAATATCTCATCAAAGATAAATAACTTGGTAGCCCAGCAATTGGTCTGTTTATTGGGAAGATTGCCCTCCTCTCCCTTGTATGAACATCAGATCTCTTCCTCTGGCTCCTTTCTGTTGACTCTCCAGCTACCATTGCTCCGCATCCTATTTTTCATTAAGTGACCACTCACTTGCTGAACAGAGAGCTGGTGAACAAACCGGTACCTACTGTGTTTCCACTCCCACTACTGTCTGGGCAAAGGCAGATGAACTCGCAGACAGTAGGGTAAATAGGGAACAACTCCAGGGGCACTTGTCAGTGGACCCCTGCCATGGTGAGGACCTCTGACCATTGCCCAACCATACTTATCCATGACACTGGCCCTGTTCTACCTCACTGCCATGACACATCTGAAGCTGCTTGTGAAGCTCTCCATATGTTTGTCACATGCCTTGAGCTGAAGGAGAAAACTGGTCAAGAAATGAGTCCAGTGCCTCCCTTGGACATGCTGAATTAATTAGGCTGTGTTTTGGATGCTATTCCTTGGTTGATTTGAGTTTTATGACTTGTTAGTCTTCAATGGTCAAGGGTGAGTCCACCTACTTAATTCCCAGTTTATTAAAGGTTCAAGCTTATGCAAGTTTAGATAGAAAGGGCCTTCAATTCCCAGGATGATTCAACTGGCCAAAGGTGACTTGGGCATGCTGGGAACTGTAGACCTATCTACACATGCATAGGTTTGGACCTTTCAACTGTCTTGAATCTTATAGAAACAGAAACAGCGCGAGTCAGAAGGGGTCTCCCAGGCCATCTAGTCTGACCCCTGGCTCCAGCCAACTCCACTCATGACATGCCCACCATGTTCATGTCCAGCCTGTCTTTGAACATCCTCACTGATGGGGCCTCAACCACCTCCAGTGGAAGCCCATTCCATACCCTCTGGGTCCTAACTGTCAGGAAGTACTTCCTGGCATCTAAATGGAACCTTGGTTCCCTGAGCTTTGCTCCATTGGAGCGCATCCTGCCTTCCTCTGCAGGGGAGAACAGGTCTCTACCCGCCTCCGTGTGACACCCCCTCACATACCTGTATGTCCCCAACAGATCCCCTCTGAGTCTCCTCCAGGCTAAAGAGCCGCAGTTCCCTCAGTCTCACCTTATACAGCATCCCCTGCAAACCGGCCACCAACCTTATGGCCCTACGCTGCACAGACTCTAACCTGGCTATATACTTCCTGTAATGAGGGGCCCAAAACTGAGCACAATACTCCAGTTGCGGGCACACCAGAGTCTTATAGAGTGGTAGTAAAACCTCTCTCGGTCTAGAAGCCATGCTTCTGGCTATGCAACCAAGGGTGGCGTTCACCCTCTTGACCACCGCATCACACTGCTGACTCGTGTTTAGCCTGCAGTCAACCAGCACCCCGAGGTCCCTTTCACAAGTGCTGCTCTCCAGCCACTTGTCCCCTAACCTGTACTTATGACACCTATTCCTATGCCCCAAGTGCAAGACCTTGCACTTATCCACATTGAATGCTATCCTATTGTCTCCTGCCCACTTCCATAGTCTGTCCAGATCCTTTTGGATCTGGAGTACCTGCTCCTCAGTTGTGGCCACTGCTCCAGTTTTCATCTGCGAATTTGATCTGTTCACCCCTTCTTCCATGTCATTTATGAAAAGATTTAAAAGGATCGGTCCCAGGACAGAGCCCTGGGGGACCCTGCTTGTCACTGGCCGCCGTCCCGATGATTCTCCACAAATGGTTACCCTAAATGGTTCCCCCACTAATGGTTATGGTTATGTTATTACGGATGCCCTTTCAAACTGATATTCTTAAATAGCTCTTCGTGAACTGAAAGCTTGAGGGTTGTCATATGCTGGGGCTACGACTTAACCTCCACCCCCGATTTCTGAAACTTGACACCCATTTAATTGTATATTTTTAGGCGGAAGATATCTATAAATATAATAAAAAGAAATATATACTGTACAGCAGACAGCAAAATTAAAAGGGGGGGCAAAGCACCCCTAAATCAACAAAGCAGCCCTCATCTACAGCAATGCACCTTATTGCATCTTCCGTTTCCTTTTTGCGATAAGCGACAAGCAGCGAAGCAAAAACCTGAAAAGCCGGAAAGGTAGGCGTTTGCATCCCAACTAATCATTGCTGGAAGGGGAGCCTGGGAGCTGTAGTTCGTAAGAGCCAGGGTGAGCCAGAGAGCATTGCAAACAGACTACAATCCCAGGACCCTTCGGGCAAACCTGGAAAAGGCAGCCACTTCCTGAAACACCGAGGGAGCGGGAGCGGAGGCGCCGTTCCTGTTGGAGCGCCGAGGAGACGCGGTGTTGGGGAGCTCAGGGCGTTGCGCGTGGGAAGTAGGTGAGTCCGCGGGAGTTCGGCCCTTCCATGTTTATTTCTGGCCCATCATGCCTGCCAGAGACGCCGCATTGGAGTCTAATCATGGTTCTTTCTTACTAGCGCCGACCGATGGAAGTGATTGGATCGAATGAGTTGGCAGAGATGCCTTTTCCACTGAGATCTACGTGTTTGATTTGAAGGGGATGTGTTTATGTGTTAGGAGTTTACATCTGACTGTCATTACAACACACTCATTGACATGGCTGCTCAGAAGTAAGCAACATGAAGGACCAAAACAGACATTACAGGAGCATGGCCTCCAATCCAGATCGGGACCCTAACGTGGTGGTTGGTAGGGGGCTTTTAAGCCCTGGATCCGTCCGCGTGCACTTCGCTAGAGAGAAGAAGGAGCTGCTAGACATAAACTTAAAGTAATGCCTGTTTTGGCCCTAGTCAATGTAGTTTAGCCCAAGATTGCAGCCTAAAGGTGTGTGCCTTCCTGGCCTGCTTGTGCGATTTCTGTAGGCTGTTAGAAGAGGATGTTGAGTTAAAAAGGCTGTTGGTTTGATCCAGCACAGCTCCTCTTCTATCTCATTTTCCTCTGTTGAAGATGTAGTCCTGCAGAAAATTAGCTGCTGTTTGGACAGCTCTAGAAAAAGTCAGACCCAGAAGGTCAGCCTCAAAGCTCGAGCATACCATCCCTTGGCCTTTGCAGCTGCCTCCCCCGGTTCTTTCAGTGGTGGCTGTATTTGAGCCTGCAGGAGGCTCAGGGAGGCAGTCTTTGCCTTTGTGCTTCTTCCATCTCCATGGGATGTCCACAATCCTCCAAGATCAGAGGATCACACTAGATGGCACCCTGACTCTGCTTCTGTTTAAAATAGTGTAATGTTTCTTGTGCCCTGATTCATAGCTGAACCCTTCACACACTGTGACTTGCTTGTGGGTTGTTCTGTCACCTTAGTCATTATTAGTAACACTAGAAAAGTTTTTAAGATTCTGTAAGATGTCTCTGACTTCTTTAGCCTGACAATATGTAATCTATTACTCAATTTTGTTGAAGTGAGATCATAAAAAATCAGAGCTGAGATGCAGGCCCCAGGTAAATGTTTCCTCATGATCAAATATGCTTGTGCCTGTATCAGCAATGTGTATGCTACACATTAATGAGGATACCCATTGAATTAAACCTCTACCATTAAGGGGTTTTAATTCCATTTTAATTGATTTGTTTTATACTATAATTAAGACTTTCTTCTTAATCTGTAGTATTGTAAGCTGCCATGAACACCATTTTTGGCAGAAAGGCAGGATGTAAATCTAATACTGTACTGGCGTGCATGTGGACCATGGGTGGCATACATGAATTAATATATATTGTCTTGCAAACAGTCAGGATAGCACTTCATTCTTAAATTGATCTTAAAAACTTTAATGGTGCAGTCCCATGTGTATTCAGACAGAAAAACTGTCCTACAATTCACAGTATTTTCCAGCTAGCATGGCTAGGTGGGGAATGCAAGATGTTGTAGAACTTGTTTTCTGACTAAAAATGATTGGATTGCACCTTAACTTTGAACTAGGATTGTCAGCTTTTTGTTTTAACCAAGACTCCAGTTGTATTACAAGTAGAGGTTCAGCTGTTGACACTTTTCCTGGCATATCAATGCAAGGACAGAAAAGCTTCACCAGTTGAATTTCTTCTTGTCATGTAGCTGTTATTTATTCAAGCACAGCTCTTTGCTTACCATAGTCTGGGCCTCCATGTGGAGAGTGGGAAGTTTCACCATACAAACTTTTAAACAAACCTCTGAAATGCACCTTTGTGCATACATAGCACATAATGCAGCCAGGAACCCTGAAGAAACTTGCTTCCTGATTGCATACAGTGCTGCCTGTCCATGTCTGAGAGGCACACTGCAGAGGTTGGGTGTGAATGCATGTATAGTTTTTTCCTACCACCGTCTAATCACACATCTGTTAATTATACATGCAACAGATCTGACCTAAAGTCTGAAAAGGGATCGTATCTTATTATTTATTTTTTTATTTATTATTTATTAAAACATTTCTATGCCGCCCCTTACTGTAGCCTCGGGGTGGCTCACAACATAATAAAATACACAATAAATTAAAACAATAACAATTAAAATATATACATTGGAATAAAATAAGCCGCCCTGGCCAATAATTTTTATAACACTTTTGTTCATCTTTGCAATTTGCCTTGGAGGAAGATGTTGAGGAACAGAGGTGGAAAGATAGCAATTTATAGTTCAAATAAAATAGCCTCCTTTGGCACAAAGAAACATAACATTATAGGAAGAGGTGTGTGTGAAGATAGACTGAGGACTCCTTCCTATAAATTTAGGACAACTTGTAAGTTCTTACTTGTACAAGATGAACTATTACATTACTGAATATTGTACTGACTTCTCTAGAGTAAAAAACTGTCCAAATAAAAAAACACTTGCATTAGCCAGAGGGCGATGCCTTCAAATTTCTACTTGGACTCCCTGGGTGGGCTGAAGAATTGCTCTCAGCTTCAGCTCCTGCTGTGCAAAATTGATTATGGCAATAAGTCTTCATATTATCATTGTAAATATAAGGTAAGTTGTGTAAACCAGTGTATAAATGATAAATGTGTACTTAAAGAGTTTTACTTGAAAGATGTTTTCCAATGTTGTTTAATCCCATATAGTCTATATAGCATGTTTATACGTGAACATGTAACAGTCTTATGGTTGAAATCCAATGCAAAAACATTTAATGCCAGTGTTTCACATTATAGGCTCAAGATAGCTAGACGCATTTGGAAAGTGAAGTTTTTAGACATCTTTATAGAAGGATGGTAAAGTAGGAGAAATTTTTACATGAATCCCGTTTGCAAAGCCTTCTGTTAATAAAAAGGAAAAGAGAACAACAGTCAATTTAGGGTGCCGTCCTATGGCTGGGCGACACTGATTGTCCAGCCATAGGAAAAGTCAGCACTCCTGCTGCAACTTCATAAAAGCCCTTTGATGTCACAGTGTGCATCCCGTCTTTGAGGGGCCCTCCCCTTGTCCTTGCAGCCACAGTGGTTGTCACTCTGAAGACAGGACATCTGAGGAGTGGGAGGAGGAGGAGTGAGGCACTTCTGTCTTATGACACATCCCAGAGGTGCCTCAGCCTCCACCCCTCAGCAAGCTAGGTCAACCGATGTAAATGACCAAAAATCATGTGTCTGTACCCTTGCTAGGCAGGAGAAGTGCAGAGGCAGTCCCTGCCTCCATGTTTGATTGGATGCTCATGAAAGCAGGCAGATTGGATGGCACCCTTAGGCTGTTTAGCTTGGATGCTCATATTCTGCAGTGCACGACAAAAATAGTTGCTTCAGTAAAATAGAAATGGGTGGCCACATTTGTCCATTTGCCTGGAACAGTAGGCCAGGATTCTGGAACCCTGATTTATTTCTTAGATTTATATCCTGCCTTCCCCCACCCCTTTTTTAAGAACTCAAGGTGGTTTATATCATTCACCTCCTGCTCTCAATCTTATCTCCACAACAACAACCCTGTGAGGTAGGTTTGGCTGAGAGACTTTGACTGGCCCAAAGTCACCCAGATAGCACCATGGCTGAGTGGGGACTAGAACCCGGATTGCCTGAGTCTCAGATCCAGACCTGAACCATCTATTGATCCCACTGTGCTTGATCGCACCATGCTCATCCCCTCTAGTGCAACTGCCAAACTAACCAGAAGTGGGAAGTATAGTACACTATCCTAACTTGCCGCTCCAAGCAAGCCAGAGTTGAAGAACAAGCTCTGGTTTGTGAATCTGGCTTGTAAAAGGAGCCAAAAAGCCAGGGTCCCTGCTTCAGATGACATGTTCAATTTCAGTTTCTGGTTAATTTAGCTCTTGGGCTAGAAGAGGCAAGTGGACTAAGAGGACCAGCATGCAGATTATTCACAATATGCCAGGATCCTCCAGGATCCTGGCTTTCTGTTCTGCCCAAATGTGACCACTGGCTCAAAACATGGCAATTTATATTTACTCACTCTGACTTCTCTACTCTGTTGCAACTGTTTATCTACTTCTAAGTGTTTCTCTGTCATTCCTGATATATTTTGGTAAGTTGGTAGTCTCAGTCCTTCAGAAAGACCCTCATCCCAGCATATACTTGAAGGAATACCTAGCATGTTGACTATCTTTTTTTAAAAGTTAGACATTAATCTCTGATCGTAGGTGGGAAGCGTTGTTTTCTTAACAGAGGAGCATTTGATCTGAGCCCAGTGCACAACACTGGCTCCAGAGTGGCTTCCCAAGTGTCCAGTTTAGCTTCTAGGACAGCCATGTCAATAATTTCTCCTTCATCCTTGCGGGGAAAAATGAATTGATGAGAATATTGTTGACTTGGTGACATTTTCTTCCCCAGGAGGCATTTTCATTGGCTAAAATGGGTTGCCGTGATGTCCATGCTGCAACGGTCCTAGCCTTTCTTTCTGGAACAGCTGCCTTATCGGGACTCATTGCTGCTGCCCTGCTTCCGAACTGGAGACAAATGCGACTCTACACCTTTAACAAACATGAAAAGAATCTGACTGTTTACACTGGGCTCTGGATTAAGTGTGTTCGCTCTGATGGCAGCAAAGACTGTGTGATTTATGACACTGAATGGTACACAGCAGTCGATCAGTTGGACCTGCGCATTCTGCAATTTGCTCTTCCCATAAGCATGCTAACAACTGTCTTGGCGCTGTTTCTTTGTTTGATTGGCATGTGTAACACAGCCTTCATCTCAACTGTGCCCAACATCAAGCAGGCCAGATGTCTCATAAACAGTGCAGGCTGCCATCTTGTGGCCGGCCTCTTCTTTCTTCTGGCCTGTGTCATTTGTGTGACACCATCTGTCTGGGTCATTTTTCACAATCAGGAACTGAACAAAAAATACGAGCCTGTTTTCACCTTTGACATCTCTGTGTACATTGCTATTGCCAGTGCTGGGGGCTTATTGTTCACAGCCATTCTCTTATTCCTGTGGTACTGTGCTTGTAAAACACTACCTTCTCCTTTTTGGCAGCCTCTGTATTCTCATGCGCCCAGTGTGCATAGCTATGCCTCCCAGCCATATTCTGCAAGGTCTCGGCACTCAGCCATTGAAATTGACATCCCAGTTGTAACACACACAACTTAAAAATGTTAGGAAAGCCACATGCCTGTTTACTCTCTCACAGGCAAGACACTACAGGTCAAGGGAATGTTTTCCACTGCCTTGAAGACTTTTAAAAATTATTTGCAAAGGGTTTGTGCAAAGAATTGCATTGCAACTTTTACAACTTCTCTATCTAGGTATTGCAAATAGGAATGCAATTAGGTGAACAAACCCTTATATTCAAAGCCCTAGTTGTTTTGGTTGGGAGCAATTTGCAAGTTTCTAAGTCCTATCGAAACTACTGGTGTTTATACATTCATAGGTAAGTTAAAGTTTGGGACTTTTTTGCTTTTATAAATTTTAGATGAGTTTTTTCCATGAATTGTACTAGTGAAGTAGAAATCAACTGGTGTTTGTAATCCAGCACATGAAATATTTATTTGTAAGAACTTCTTGTTACTCTAAATGTTCACCTAACTCAAAACACCTTGATTTTAATAACCTACTTCATTGATAGCCATTTTGTACTTTTGAAAACATTACATCCATCCACCATGTTGGCTCTACTTGTATAGGAATAGTTAACAAGCACATTGATTTTCTCTGCATTACTGGAATAGAAACTGATATAATGAATGTGAAATCTTTACATTTTACCAGTCCGCCAAGCAGTAGTTGATGTACAAAGTCCTGCACCAGTTCATGTTTTCTGTTGTACATATGCTAAAATTATCTGCTCTGAATCCCACAGAATTCTAGTCAGGATGATTCTTGATCCCTGTGAGAACTGGAGATCTAGAAGAAGCATAATAATAGATCCCCCCCTCCCGGCAATTGTGTAAATTGCATTGTTTGGGAGGCTTTTGTTCTAGAGAAAATATTTTGTTAAAACTATATTTTTCTCTCTTTGAACACAGGAAGCAACCAAAATTCCATTTCATTAAAGCATACATAGTAAAATATCAATCATCTAGGTAGCCTGAGGGTTACAAGTCTCCCATAATCGGAAAGGTAGATGAGCAGATTTATAGCTGAATTGGGTTCATGGAAAATTTGTTTGGTAGACAAATTGTGGGATGACCAAGATTCCTTTACCTTTTAAAATCATAGATATTTTAGCCACATGAAAAGGTATGTACCACTCCTCATCTGTTATTTAATGCTTACCAAATTTTAGATTGTTTTACTGCATTAGAATTAATTTAATGATAATTAATTTGAATGCCAAATAAATATTATTGAAAATCAAATTAATATCAGAGCGAGTATTTTACTTTAAAAAAACAAGAACTCCTGGTTTTGTAGCTTGTCTTTAGGTTTAGGTTTTTATATTACCAACCTCACTCCTTTCTCATTCATTAGACATGAGTTGTTTTCATATGGTATATTTTAGATTTGAAGGTGTTTCTGTTTTCATGAATAATGAGAAACTACAGATATCAAGGTTGGTAATCAGCGATATGGAGCATACAGTCTGTTTTCTTTTTTTTCCCAAGCAAAAAGTTCCCAAATGGTTTTGAACATATTCTGGAACTTGAATCTCTTGAATGAAACTTGGCTATATGAATTTGCTGGAACTATATATTCTTATGTAATTAAGCAAGTAAATTAGTAATATCTGATCAAAACAAAGCACTAATTTTTATAGGGAGAATTTCTATATCTTTCTAACTGGTTGCCTGGAACACTCCTATTCCAGGAGATGTACTACAGTACAGCTTAGGAATGCTCAGGGTCTCATTTACAATATGTATTTCTCTAATTCCAAGTGTTCTTTATGGATGCTTTTGCCATATTTGAAATTCTGTGTAGTTTGAGCCTCTGGGAGCTTTATTTTTATTCAATTATTTCTTAGAAACATTGAGTACTGTGGGGATTAGGAACATGGTATTCAATTGATTTGAACACACAAACAACTGCTTTATTTTTGCACTACATCAAATGCAACAGAGGTGCATTCTGTTCATTTGAAACAGTCACCATTTGTGAAACTGACACACAGGTATCCTTAAAGTATGAGGCAGGTATTAGCTTGTCTTCTCAGTTGATGAAATTGTAAATGCTGATGGTGCTAGAATATGGAAAATCTGCTCTAGCTCTTTTCCATTAGAGGTTAAGAATCCGTCTGTTCAATTGAAGAGCCTGTGACTTTGTTATAAGCAATTGTATAAACATGACGTGCAATTCAGATGACTTCCCTTCCTTCTGCTGTTCCTGTTCTTGGTTCACATTGTGAATTATTTCTGACTGACAAGCAGCATGTCTGCTTTGCCTTCTAAATTAAGACAATTACTTTAATTAATAAAATAGAAATTAATTCTACTTTGAAGGCCCACTTTTCTTGAATTTTGTTAAATATATTTTGATCAGAGTGTTTCTGTTACAGCCAGTTAAGTACTGAGATGCATTGATACGATTTTTTTTCTCAATGAAACTGTTGCTTTTGATCCCTCTTCTGATCAACACCCCTCTGCCAATGTCTCAAGAAACTTCAGTGAGTTTATAGTGATACAACAGAGCTGTTCTTTAGGGGTAATATCCCACTGTTAGAGACTTTTTGGACTGTGGCCAGTGTTTTTAAATACTGGAACATAAACGAATGAATTCTATGGAATGCATCCATAGAACAATGCACTTTCATTGGTTGGCTTATGATTTCACATGTGTTGTTCTATACTGAAGTCTTCTATGAAAGACGGTCATTTTAAATGTTTGTATTTTCAAAAAGATAACTTTTATTTTTTTCAGTTGGAGTAATTTTCACTTCTCTGGGGCAAATGTTTACTTATGAAAGATAAACTGCAAACCAAATGTACTTGATTTGTTGATTTCTTTGTTGATAAAAAGTTTATCTAAAAGTACATACTTTTCAAATGTTGGTCCTGCTTGTACCTACAAAAGCTACTGGATTTTAATTTGGATTTACATTGTAAGCTGCCTCTTCTGCAACTTATTTTGTTTAATTTGTATAAATAGTGCAACTTGCCTAGCACAGAGCTGTCAGTGTGAATCCTGCATTTGCTTTAGAAAACACGTTTCTTGATCTCTCTGCTTGTGCTTGGATGAAAATGTACTCTTTTTTTCAAGGTTACCTATTGTAAAATTCTGTTTCAGACTTTTAGTAAACATTTGATTTAGCTATGCATTTTTATGTGAAGGAAAATATTTTTTAATTAAAATGGTCTTGAACTGCTATGGCTCATTTCTATGGATACTCTTAAATGTTGACAGTTTAAAGTATAAAAGTTTAGGGCTTTCTTATACAGTGAGTGCAGGTAAGAGCTGTAACCAAGCTTGAGTACATAACTGCAATTCCATGTATAAGTCTTTTCAGAGATCATCCCCATTGATAGAGAGCAGTCCAAATGGAGTAGAAGCAGTTTGTACACGCATCTACTGATCTGAAAAGATGTTCCAGGAAATGAAAGCCCATTCTGGAATCTGTGGTTTAACCATTTTTGCCACACTTGGAAACAAATTATCTTTATATCACTATGATTGTACTACTTTTCGTTTTAGAGCAGACGCTGCATTTCCCTTTCTCTCTCTGTTGCCTGGCTCTTTTACTTTGAACCTTTGCTCCATTTGCTACAATTCCAGTCAGGTCATGGTGGTCAAAATCCAGAGAAATTTGCTCTACTATTTATTACTCAGACAGTCATCATTACATAGCAAAAGACAACCAGAAGCTCAGTGAAAGTGAAACTTGCCTCAGCCAGGCAAGCACAGTAGGGACATATTTTTAAATAAATAGGTTTCTTCAGATCCAGCTCTTAGATGGGATCCCCAGTGGTTTCCCAGCCAAGGAGCTGAGTAAGTCTATCTGTAGCTTGTTCAATTCTAGCAGTGCCACAACGTGTCCTATTTACAAACATTCTGGGCTGAAAATCAAATTGAGCAGCCTTCAGAAGAGCTACTTAGACCAGATACAGACTGGAAATGTGGATTGATCCATTTTTCAGGGAATCAGCCTGGTGCAGCATGATTTTCCCCCTATAA